CCTACCTGGAGTGGCCTCTTGAAGAAGAGCACCAGCAAATGTTTTGGGCAAACCTGAAGAGAGCCTTGAAGTCATAGAAGAAGTCAGCAGCTCCCATTTCAATGTATTTCCGTGAAAGGCTCTATGTCAGTGTTTCTTCTTGCTAAGAATTTTTTCTTTCTTATTTTTCTCTCTAAATATGGCTGGCTTTGTTGTGTATAGAAATAATTGTCATGTTACTCACTGAAAAAGGCCCACTTTTTGCTTTCCAGTAATCTGATGCTCTGGTGTTTCAAAATCTCTGCCAATAACTATAATATTTGGAAGCTATATTGGACTATATATACTTTTCTAAATACATTTAGCTGAGTGTAGGGTATTTCTGTACTTTTTTCTGCTCTTACCACTATCCCCAACTCGTCTCTAACAATGCCACTGCAATTTAGAATTTAAATTAAAAGCCAAGGACTTCAATCAATACTCTCCTGTGTCCATCTCTTCCTGTGAATGCTTGTTTGTCCCTTTGCAGTCACCACCATTTTCCCTTTTACCTACCCCCAGAGATAACTGAACCTTCTATTTGTGGAGTATGAGACTGTGTTTCTGATGTGTGGGCTAGATGGTGTTGCAGACTGTCTCATTTCTTGTTTTGCTCTTCTACTTTGCAGAGCACATTTATGTAATCACTAGGCCATGAACCCCTTACTGCTCTACTTAACTTCCTTTCTAGAGGTTGAAGAAAATCACACTGACAAGAGGTATTTCCTCTCTCTACTTCAGTATGAGACATCTCCTAGATCTACTGTATTGCTCTTCACCAATTACAGAGGGAGTCTAGACAAGCAGGTAGATACAGATGTTCGTATTAAGATAGCTGGTCACACTCTGGGTGCCTGGATTTCTTGTGTTTTAGACATTCTTGTGGGAACCTGAAATTGTCTCTGAGGGGATTAAGTTAGGTGTTGTTTCTCTACCTTGGCACTTCCATGTTCCCCTTTGCTTGTATTGCTGGAGTTTAAGTACAGGAGAGTCTAGATGAATTTTGGTTAAACTTTAGATATGCAATTATTTTGTGGTGATAAACCAAAGCATTGGCAGATGGGCTGAGTGAGTATTTGAAAAACAGCAAAATTTCCTTATACAGAGATGTTTGTTAGTATACTTGTTCATATGCATATATATGTGTATGTGCTTATACATGTGTATATGTTCACACTCCTGTGTGTATCTGTACACATATCTACACATGAGATGGTAGTTTCTGTGGGTGTAGCCTGCAAACACCACTTTCAGTTCTACTTTCCTGTTATAATATTATCTCTAGGGCTAGTCTAAAGTCTGCTACAAGGGGATTTTTTGCTCACTGTCTTGGAGAAAAATAGCTCAGTAGCTAATCAAGGCTGAACTCCAGGTGGGTGATGAGTGAATCATCTGAGAGCAAACAATGAGCATTGATAAAACAGATTAGGAGACTGTGTGCCTAGAGGTAAGAAGGGAAATAAGTCTTGCTGGTCATTACAAAGAGAGAGTCAGAGAGATGTAGGAGAAGCCTTAGTTTTCATATGGTACACTCTTACTATGGACCCAGACTTTTTTGGTTTGGCACGTTTTAAAAGGAGCGATAGTGTTCCTGCTTTTACACCAATCAGATCACCTAGGTGGGAATTCCCCTGCTCACATTATCAAGGTTTAAAGGTGAAGTGGAAATGAAACAGCAGCATAAGAGGAAGCTGGGTAAAGAATGATGAACAAGAGAGAGATGAAACACAACATGGGTTAACTGGCATGCAGGCACCAGAGCTGGAGCTGGCATCTCTGGGGATCTTTTCAGCACAGAGGTGAGTTTTCAGGTAGGTGAAGGCTGGAGATGTAGGGAAAGACAGTTGAGCTGCAATGCCAGAGCAAGAAGCAAGGAGAGAGCACTGGGAAGAGGCTATCTAATCTCTGCTACCGAGTCCTGCTCTGCATGGGGGTTTGACGGTGCTCAGGGCTGCTGAGAACGAGTGTGGGGTCGGGAGGGATTTCTGTCACCAGCAGAAGTGGAGTAGGAAGGTGCAATCACAGGCAGCTGGCAGGTATGCATGGCAGGCAGGCAACAAAGACTTGCCAGGAGAGCTGGGACATGCTGATGGGAACAGTGTCCTTTGGGAAAGGGGAGGGAGGAAAGCAGCAAATGAAAAAGACAAATTGGGTCAGACTGCCTCATTTCTGCTCAGTTTCCTTGTGGGAGGGTGCCTTGTTTGTACTTTGTCCTGTTTGTATGTTGTCCCACTTGTATATTGATACCAGCTGCCCAGGGAAGGCTGGGTGTGAAGGTGGGCTGCCTTGGTTTCAGGAATTCAACCAGGAAAGAGCTCATCGAACAATGGCCTCAGGACTTCAGCTACCTTCTCACCTAACTCGGACCTGTTACACACTCTCTGTGTAGGAAACAAGAAGAGGCATTCCCATGTATGTGTGTGGATGTGTGTATGCACATACATACTGTTAGGGCAGTGCTAGTGGGTGATAACTAGGGCATATGTAACCCACACACAACCATGTGGAGAGCAGGAACTTTCCCCAGTCTGCTTGTAGTTTGACTCCTTCATCAACCAGTGACTATCCCACTGCAGAGTCCATAGCACTGCTCAAATTTACCAGCCCACATTTACCTGGATAGTGCTCCCCAAGCTAGAATCAATTTGTGCATTATTGGCACTTACATTAACCTTTTGCATTTGTTAGCATTTATAGAACCTCATTCTGTTGTCAGTCATGGTTTTGTTTAAGAATATGCACATATTTCCTCAAATACATCTACTGACATGACCCAGAGAAGACAGTCCTGAGCACGTCTAATGGCTTGGGCCCTTTGTCCATAACCCAGAAATATTTTAAATGTCTGGTTTGTCACAGCATCTTATGGTATAATGGCATCTGTGCAAGTTTCTGTATTTTTATTTGCATTTTAATTTCTCTGTGGCTTTTTAGTTACCAGCACAAGGGGAAAAAGTGATTCCTTGATAGGGTAATGATATAGGACTGTCTGTATGTCTGAGTGGGTGTGGAGATGCCTGAATTGATCCTGTAAGTCAGGGTCTTAAGCAGAATCATTAGAGATGAATGGGAAGGGAAAGAGACTGGTTGAAAATTGAATGAGGGTGGGAATGGGATTTCTCTAAGTGTCTGCTCAGATTACATATGAGCAAAAAACTGGAAAAGAAGCTCACAGAACTGACAATAAAGAAAAGCATCCTGAACCACTAAATGGAGTTTAGTCCTGCAGTCCCTGGATGGTTTCAGGTTGGTGAGGTGGAGAGCCATTAGGCTCAGCTGGTATTTTCTGTGGAGTACCTTCCCAGTTTCCTTCTGTGCTGCAATTTACCACCTATAAATAACCTATCTATAGATAGCTTTTGATTGATCAGGTCACCTGTTTGTTTCTTTTTCTAACAGTAAGCATTTTGATGGTAACATTAAATTTACCACTTAAATTTGTTACTAATGAAACTCATGTTACCTGTAGCTTTGCTCCTCCAGCCTACAGCACTGTGTTATCCAGTTAGACTTGTGAGACTGAAAAAAGCCCTCTAAAAGAGCCTCAGATGGACAGCAGATGAGTCTAGCTACAGATTACAATTCTTTGTGTGGGATTCACATGGAAAATTATCTAGATATCTAAACTATGTTACTCCATTTTAAGTCAATGGGGCCAATTCTCTTAGACTCAATACATCTTAATCTGAGTGTCTAAGACACGTGATAAGAATTGCCCCTAAAAGACATTATTTCTCTCTGTTGACTTTGGAGGACATGGTGGATGACTAGCTCAGCTGTGGGCATCTAAAGACAGGGAAGACAACTGTGTCCTTCAAGATTCAAAGCTCTATATCAGAGAGAGACAGATAAAAGGCAAATAACACAAGAAGTCAAAATGTTTACAGTCCTCCAGGTGGGAAGAGATGGAATGATTGAAAAAATTATCCACAACTTTTCCTCCCCTCTCCATGTGCTCAAACCATCTCAGTCAACTCTGCCACTTTTGAATAATCTTAAGCAACTATGGCTAAAAATAATGCAACTGGAAGGGCAGGACTTATCTATATGAACTTGTATGTGTGGGTCAGCTACTGTAAAACAAATCAGAATATTAATTTAAAGTACAGGAGATCTTCTGCACAGAGTCTCAGTGGGATGACTAATGGAGAAAGTAGTTCTCAGTGAGCCAGTCTAACCTGATTAACCTGATACATAGTTCACGATTTTGTGAACCTGTTCATTGGCCTCCTTGGGGTTGGTTCATTCTTTTCAACCTTGGTAAGATACCTACTGAGGTAGGGGGGGTTGTGACACACGAGACAAAGTTATATTTTAAAAATGTTCTTTGATCCTTGTCAAAAAAGGTTATAATTCAATATGTTATAAGGGTTTTAAAAGGAAAAGAGCTCTCTCAGGCTTCAAAAATTGTTTTTCCAACTCCTCAGAAGGATAGAAGAGCTAAAGTCACCTTATTGGGAGTAAGGACGAGCTGGATATTGCAGCAAGTTCTGTAACAAAAAAAAGCCATGTCAAATCAGTATTATAAAAGGCATGACTGTGAGAGGAAAGTGAAGTGACACAGGACCCACATCTGTGTACTTTTTCTTGAATCATTTGAGTCCAGAAGATCAGGAATAGTCTGTGGGCTGGAAAAAGCTATCTAGTTCAGACAGCTGATCTGATCTGAAGGAGGCTCCAAAGGCCCCTGGCTCTTCCTTGTGGCTTGGCCTGATCTTCTCTCTGCCAGAGATGTCCAAAACAGGAAAAGGCACTGGCAGAGAAGAAGGATGTGGCAGTAAAAGGAAGAGCTAAGAGTCAGTAGGCAACAATGGTCAGTTTTACAAGCTCAAGTTTTATTAGCAAGTACTGGACTGATGGGAACATGATAAAGATGGCCTATGAATTTATCCAGGCGAGTATTTTTTTCCCTGCTCCTAGCACATTCACAGGTAGAGAAAGGCAGATAAAATGAGGAATGGACTGAAACAAAGGCATTCCTCTTCTCCCCATTGTCAGAATTGGCATTAGACATATACTTGAAATTAGTATTAGATGTGAATGATTCTATGTACTGTAAGATGCTGACTCTTCTGATGTAACCAGGATTTGAAATACACACAGGAGACTCCCTGTAGTAAAAAATGAATACACAAAATAATATTCACAGACTCAGAAAAAAAAGACCTGAGGTGTGACAGAGCGGGCAGGTATGAAGACTCTGTACTAAACAGGAGGAGGATGAGAGTAGTTGTGCTTATGCAGATGTTTAGCTGACTCTGCAAAAAATTTGTGGAGCTCTTAATTGATTTGATAGTCTTCATGCCAAATTTAGAAATCACAGGGGAAAAACAAAGAGTAAAATCAATATACATAGCCTTTAACAAATGATTTTGAAATATTTGTGAATAGTATGCCTTTTTTAATGGATCCGTTTCATCTCTGCATTGTGTTAAAAACAAATACATTTACAGTGTTTTGACAGAACAGTGTAAGATATATTTTAGATATAACCAAAATGCACCTTCCTAAAATCCATCTTATATTTGCTCTGATTATATTTTGTATTTTAGGTGAAATAATGACTAAACACAGCTGGCAAGCGTGGGCCATCTACATGCTCTTAGCTGCAAACCTCTCCGAACAGCAAGCGCTGAAGCAGGCTTGTCCTTCATGCAATGATGCTCAGCTTTGCAACTGCTCTTCCATGGGCTTGGACTTCATTCCCCCAGGGCTCACTGCCAAAATCACTATGTTAAACCTGGCCCACAACAGGATAAAGCACATCCGATCCCAGGACCTGCAGCAGGCTGTGAACCTGAGAGCCCTGCTGCTGCAGTCCAACAGAATCAGCTCCATAGATGAAGACTCATTTCAGTCCCTGGCGAAACTGGAGCTCTTGGACTTATCAAATAACAGCTTGGCTCACTTGTCCCCTGTGTGGTTTGGGCACCTTTTTTCGCTCCAGCACCTCCACCTTCAAGGCAATTTCTACAGAGACCTGGGAGAAAGCTCTCCCTTTTCTAGTCTGAGGAACCTGAGCTCTCTCCGCCTGGGCAACCCACGGTTCTCTGTGATAAGGCAAGGGAACTTTGAGGGCATTGAGCTTCTCAACGAGTTGTGGATTGATGGTGGTAATCTCAGTCAGTATGAGCAGGGAAGTTTGAAATTGATTAAGAAGATAAATCACATGGTCATAAACCTAAAAAATATTAATATATTCTCAGAAATTGTTAGGGACCTTCTACACTCTGTGACTTGGCTAGAAGTGAGAAGAATAGCATTCAGTACCTCTGCTGAAATGCAACTTTTGAGAGTCATGTCTTCTTCTTTCGCAAAGAAAATTTCTTTTAAAGAGACCTTATTAACAGATGCCACTGTGCCTGAGATTGTCAGCATTTTAGAAGACATGCCAAAATTAGTGGAGGTGGAGCTAATAGACTGTAGACTCTTGGGAACTGGACAATGGGAAATGCAGATTCAAGCAAACCAATCACAGACCCTTAGAGTTCTCACAATACAGAAATTATCTATAGAAGAATTTTTCTTGTTTACAGATCTTCAGACTGTGCAAGATCTACTATTTCTTTTTACCAGAGTCACAGTTCGAAACACCAAAGTATTTTTGGTCCCATGCAGAATTTCCCAACATCTTCAGTCATTAGAGTACCTTGACCTTAGTGCTAATTTGCTTGGAGACCAGAGTTTAGAGCATTCAGCCTGTCAGGGTGGATGGCCATCACTACAAACTCTAAATTTAAGTCAGAATTCACTGGGTGACTTAGAAATGACAGGTAGAAGTTTGTCTCATCTAAGAAACCTAATTGTTTTAGACATTAGCCAAAACAATTTTGGTGAGATTCCAGATAAATGCAAATGGCCAAAAAACCTGAAATATTTAAACCTCTCCAGCACTCAAATTCCTAAAGTAACGGCCTGCATTCCCTCAGAGCTGGAAGTTTTGGATGTTAGTGCTAACAACCTGAAGGAGTTTGGACTGCAGCTCCCATTTCTGAAAGAGCTGTACCTCGCAAAAAACCAGCTGAAGACCCTGCCTGGTGCTGCACCCATTCCAAACTTAGTGCTCATGTCAGTCAGGAGAAACAAGCTCAACAGTTTCTCCAAGGAAGAGTTTGAGTCCTTCAAGAGAATGGAGCTGCTGGATGCCGGCGACAACAACTTCATCTGCTCCTGTGAATTCCTCTCCTTCATCCACCACCAGGCTGGGATATCCCAGGTGCTGGTGGGGTGGCCAGACAGGTACGTCTGCGACTCTCCGCTGGCAGTGAGAGGGGCCCAGGTTGGAGCTGTACACCTCTCCCTGATGGAGTGCCACAGGTCCCTCGTGGTGTCATTGATCTGCATCCTGGTGTTCCTGGTCATCCTCATCTTTGTAGTTGTTGGCTACAAGTACCACGCGGTCTGGTACCTTAGGATGACCTGGGCGTGGCTCCAAGCCAAGCGGAAGCCCAAGCGAGCCCCACCCAAGGACATCTGCTATGACGCTTTTGTCTCCTACAGTGAGAACGACTCCAACTGGGTGGAAAACACAATGGTGCGGGAGCTGGAGCAGGCCTGCCCTCCCTTTCGCCTCTGCCTCCATAAGCGGGACTTTGTGCCTGGGAAGTGGATTGTGGACAACATCATTGACTCCATTGAGAAGAGCCACAAAACACTCTTTGTGCTGTCCGAGCACTTTGTGCAGAGCGAGTGGTGCAAATACGAGCTGGACTTCTCACATTTCCGCCTCTTTGATGAGAACAACGATGCGGCGATTCTTGTCCTCCTGGAGCCCATCCAGAGCAAAACGATTCCCAAGAGGTTCTGCAAGCTGCGGAAGATCATGAACACAAAGACCTACCTGGAGTGGCCTCTTGAAGAAGAGCACCAGCAAATGTTTTGG